TGTCCTTCCCACTCAAGGAACTCATGCGAATCCTTGAGACGCGTGGATGTGTTACAAAGGTGAGCCGAAACCAGGACAGCCAAAAGGAACACAATTAAAAGCCCAAAGGGATGAGCTGGCCTGGAAATTATCCGTCCATGTGCGTCCCCCACACGCTTCTCCTTTGTCCGTGAGGCCCGAGGTTGAGAAGGGCTCGGACCCAGTGAGCTACGTGGCTTTTGCCTCCCTGTGTTCCGAGGATGCTTAGAGGAAACCCCGGAGACCCTTAACGCTGGGTGCTCGCTGGGACTCTCCCAGGGCTGCACCCACAGCCAGGGAATGCCCAGGATGCCCTGAGGCTGCTCACGCAAAGGGCATATGATGTTTGCATGACGTTTGCATGCAGTTTCCCTACATGCATGCTGTGCTCCCCTCCCCGGGCCGTTTATTCAAGTTAGAGGCATTTTTATAGTTCTCCCCAGGGCAGTCGCTTCTGGGTTGTGTTTTTTTTTCACCCTCTTGTCTGTGCCATCTCATCCCTCAAGCCCTAACCCTGGCCCAGCTCTCTGGCAAGGGAGCCCAGTGGCACCCAGGAAGAACCAGAGAGGAATGCAGGGCCAGCTGCCCGGAGGGGCCGCTCCAAGGGTTTGGCAGCTTTGTCTGCCCTTTGCCCTGGACGCTGGCTGAAGTTCCCTTTCCCCAAACCGTAGCACTGTGTGGCTGCATTGTAGAAAGTGGGACTCCAACTCAGTTCACAGTCTCTTTGATCTAGAATTTTCTATCCCCTATGCCTTTCTCTTCTGCCTCATGACCCTAGGCAGCTGGCTACCGCTTCTTCTTCTCCTCCTTCTTCTTCCTCCTCTTTTTCTTTGTCCCTCTTCCTCTTCTCCTTTTTAACTGAGCCTGCGTTCAACTATTGCTTGAACGCTGGGCTATTCTGCAGACTGATACTTGCTACTCAGACTGAGCCCAAAGTTAACACAGTGGTTAGGGTGCTGATTTGTCCAACTCAAAATCCAGGGCTTACCCTGGCTGGTGTAGCTCAGCAGGCTGAGCATGGGTCGCAGACCACAGGGCCACTGGTTCGATTCCCAGTCAGGGCACATGCCCGGGTTGTAGGCCAGGTCCCCAGTAGGGGCCATGTGAGAGGCAACCACACATTGATACTTCTCTCCCTCTCTTTCTCCTTCCCTTCTCCTCTCTCTAAAAAATAAAATGTTAAAAACCAAAACAAAACAGGGCTTGCTCTCCGCCCTGCTTTCTCCTCACTTTTTTCAAACATAACACGTGGGAGCTGACAGCATACGCTTGCATGCTATGAGGGATGCAAGCTTCCGTGTGTGTAAAGGTTTCCAAAGGAGGCTTTTTCCTTCCCACTGACCGTGTCTGATAAGGGTCCGCCAATGTCATCACGCTCTGCTGTTTCCCTCGGCCGTTCCAAGCACCGACTCATGCCTCATTCGTGGGAAGAGAAACCGAGTTACAGGTTTGGGGGGCTGAGAGCCGCCGGCGCTGGGACCAGAACGGACCCTCGGGAGCGGCCTGAGGGAGCCCCATCCCTGCCTGGCCCTGGCTGGGAAGAAGAAACCCTCCAGCACGGATAAACCCCTAAAGGAGACGGTACCCCCTTTTCAAGGTGCTGACGGCGGAGAGAACAAAGGCTTCTGAACGGAGCCCACGGGGACGAGGCTGCCGTTGACTCCGTGCCGCGCTGCAGGCCTGTTCTGGGGCGGCTCGAGGCTCTCCAGGACTTGTAGTTCACCCTCACCCAGTAATTACAGGTAGGACCGTGGGTGGCGGAAGGTGTATCAAAGTGGACACCAGTTCCCACCCAAAGGGATGTCTGAAAGCTTTCTAGTGGTTAGGGCCGGGGTCTGGAGGGAGGCCTCTGAGCTCCGCCAGGGAGCTCTGGGGCTTGGAAGACGCTGCCGTCAGCTCGTCTGAGCCAGGGACGCGCCCCGCTGTGCAGCCTGCTCAGCGCCAGTCGCTGTCAATGGCCAGAGAGGTGCCTCTGCCCTCCTGGGGCCTTGGGGACCACCTCGGCACCAGGTCTGTTGGCTGCTGCTGAAAACAGGGTGATGGAAAAGGCAACATGTCCCCAGGAAAAGGCGAGACTCTGTAAAATGGTGACCAGGCACTCCAATTCAGGAGACCAGGCACTCCATGCTGGACCTTGAATCCTGTTGAGGAGTTGCGCGGTCACGTTCCAGCAGCTGAAGTTTTTGCTGATCAGTCCACCGTCTTAGAAAAACAAAACAACAACACACACCAGACCCACAGATAAAATAAAAGGTTTAAGACACGGGTGTCTGTAATTAAGCTTTGGAATGACGGCTTCTGTCTCTCCAAGCTCCGCGCTGTTTGGTGTGGGTTTTATCAAAAAGAGCGCCCCCCTCGCAACCCCCAGCCCGCCCCACCCGGTTCTGCCTGCTTTGCCCTGAGTTGACTCTGGGAATCGGGCCTTTCCAAAGTTTCCAGAAGGTGCCATGGGAGGCTGACCGCCTGGATCTTATCTCGGTTGGTGCTCTCCTAAGCTCAGGGCTGCGGGAGCTGGCCAAGGGACCCCACGCACAGACGGCGTCCGTAGAGACCAGAGATTGGAAAGCTGCTCCCCGCGAGGGACGGCGGGTCATCATCACGGACTCACGCCCCCGACTCCTGGGAGGTGGGACTGGCAGAGCACTTCGGAGCCAAGGCGCCCACTGCGAGGTGAGGGATGCCAGAGCGGCGTAAGCCTGTGTGGGCGCCCCTCTGCGGGGTTCCGACCATCGGCTCTGCAGATGCCGAGCTGGGCTGTAGGGGGCTGCCTCCCGGCCGGGAAGCCCCGGGCCGCCGCGGGTTTGGGGGACAATGGGGAGCGACCTCGGCCGGGGCCTCGAGCGCCGCGCGGTCCTCGGAGCCGGCAGGAGCTGGCTCCGCCGGGCCACGCGCCCTCGGCCCCCGCCCCCGCCCCCGCCGCGAGCCTGGCTGCCGCTCCGCCGCATCCCGCCGCTCATTGGCTGGCGCCGCGCGGCCGCTCCCGCCCCGCCGCACCATTGGCCGTGGCCGCCGCGGTCCCCGCGCGGACTCGCCGCTGACATCACGCGGCCTGAGGCGGCGGCGGCGGCGCCCCCGGCCCACCCGCAGCCCCCGACGCAGAGGCGCCGCGGCGGGGCCCGGCAGAGGATGGTGCGCGGCGCGCCGGGGGCTCCCCGCCGCCAGGCCCGCAGCGCCGACGCCGAGGCCGAGCCGGCAGCCCGGTGCAGCCGACCCCCGCTCCGGGCGCGGGGCGATCGGCCCCGGTGAAGACGCCCAGGGCGGCGCGGGCGCGGCGGCCATGGGCGCCCTGACTAGCCGGCAGCACGCGGGCGTGGAGGAGGTGGACATCCCGTCCAATTCCGTGTACCGCTACCCGCCCAAGTCCGGTGAGGGCGCCACCCGGGCTGGGGAGGTGGTCGCGACGCTGCTGGGCGGGGGCTCCGGGGGTCCTAGGGACCGAGCGCTCCAGGTCGCTGCAGAGCGATCTGGAGGGAGGGAGGGAGGTCGTGCGGGAGGAGTGCGGGGGTGCTCGAGGGGCCTTGGCGGGGTCGCCGCGGTGGCCAGCCACGGGCCGGAGGACCAGATCGGCCTGCGCTCAGGCTGCCCTGTGACAGAGACCTGTGCCCGGGGGACTGCGGCTCCCGAGGGGCGGGGTGCCACGGGCGCAGGTGGGTCTGCGGGCCGCAGCGCCAGGTCCCTTTCTTTCTCGCCGGGGCCCCCTTTCCCTTGGGGAGCCGAGGGCCGGGAGAGGAGGGCCGGCATCGGAAACACGCACCTGTGCTAGGTGGGGGCCCTGGCCGAAGCATCAGGCCCCAGAGAGGAACAGGCGCAGGTTTGAATTCGGTTTCTCAGGGGCCAGCTCGCATCGACTGCCAGAGGAAGGAGGCAGAAAATGCATTTACACGGCTGATGCTTTTCCAGGGGCTGCCAGAAGGAAAAAGAAGTGTTTAGCCGGAAGGTTTGGGAGTGGAAGTAGGAGTCACCCAGGCTGTCCCTTTGCCAGCGTAGCAGCAAGCCCAGGGTCTGGAATGGGGATAGCCCTGGGACTGGACGCAGGTGTTTAAAATGGATACAAGCGTCGTGTTTATTTTCAGAGTCATGGAGAAGAGAAATGTCTCCAGCCTCCAGGCTGCGGCACAGGCACTGGAGACGGAGCAGGTTCTGGACAGCCAAGGAGAGAGGCTCACCAGCTCCAGCGCCAGCCGATTCTGAGCTGCCTGCCTGGTGCATGACCAAATTGTCTGCTCCTTGCTTTTCTCAAGGCTTCTGGGGACCTATGACTGTCGCCTTCTCTTTGGCTTAGGACCTGGTGGGGCTTTTGGTAATTCTGGAGAGGTGTCAGAACTGGCCATTGGAATAAAGACATGCTGGTGGGGCGAGCCAGCTTCCCAGCAGCGCGTCCTCCTTGTGCCAGGTGGACGCGGGGACCAGACAGTGAACCCGCGCCCCTGCGGAGTGTCTGCCGGCGCAGAGCTTCTCACGGCCGCGGTGCCAGAGCAGGACTCCTCGCAGGCAGGAGTATGCCCGCCCGAGAGCCCCTGCAGAACAGTCTGACAGAAAGCTGGGGGGTCCATCGAGCTTTAATCGAGCTCCAGCTAATTATGACGGTAGGAAACCGGTGCTAGGGCAGCGTGCATTTCGCTTTTTTGTAGATGAACATATGCACACGTATTTGCGAGTGTTTTTTTTTTTTTTCTTTCTGGAATCACTTAGCTTTTATTGATCAGGATATGGAGGCGGTCTTGCTGAGCTTGGAGTTTTCAGCAGAGTTCTGCCTGCTGCAATGCATCCACGCTTCCTGCGCGGATGGGGATTCACGGGGGTGATTCACCGGAAGGCTGTTCCCCAAAGGATATTGATACAAGTATGAATCTTGGATGGTGATCACGAAAGGGTAATGGACCAAACTAAAACTTTTTTTTAGCCTACACACTCAGTACCTGCAGTCTTAAATAATCCTCTCCACGTTACCAGTTTTTTAAAGTTTTACCTGATTGTTACTCGTTCCCCCTTCCCCATTTAAAAAATCCTCACCTAAGAACAGGCAGATTGATCTTAGAGAGGGGGAAGGGAGGGAGACAGAGACGGAGAGAAACATCGATGTGCGAGAGAGGAGCATCTGTCGATCCGGTGCCTCTCGCATCTGCCGTGACTGGGGATCGAACCTGCAACCCAGGCCTGTGCCCTGACCGGGCATCCAGCAGCGACCTTTCAGTTGACAGGCTGCTGCTCCAACCAGCTGAGCCACACCGGCCAGGGCTGTTCCTCATTTTAATCGGACATTTTGTGTCAGAGACGTCTTTGCATCATTTCTACTGACGGTAAAACACAGAAAATAAGAATCAGAACGTTCACGTCCCAGCCAGGGAGCTTCGTGTGAACTTGGTGTGAACTTGCACGTACGAATACGCATGGGGCCAGCGGCATCTCTCTCTCTCCCTCTGATCTTCACGTGGACTTGGCTGTTTATGGACTTACAGTATGTTAGACCTGAAAGGAACCGTTGAAAGACTTGGGCCCAAGACCCACTCGTTTCGCCGGCGAGCAAACGGAGGCTCAGAGGAGTGCGCTGGCTTGCCCGGGGCCACCTGGGAAGTAAGTAGCGCCCTTCCTACTCCACCCGAGCCTCTGCCTCTCACGGGGAAGTAGATTTGGAACTTGCCCTTGATGGTTGGGGAACGGAGGCTATTCTGTGTCAGAGCTGAAACAAAACCCAGCGTCCTGGCCCTGTTGAGGAATCAAGCTGGCTTGATTTCCAGGCCTCCGTCCCGTGGGGCCTGGCACAGGGCAGAGCCCACAGCAGCGCCACCCTCTCCGGGTGCCGGGCGCCGGGCCCGGCAGTCTCCGCGGCCCGAGTGGTAGCCTCTCTAGAAACCAGCGCCGTCGCCTGCCCCCTCAATGGTGGTCACCGTGCCCAGCACAAGTGGCTTCCCCTTACTTTGTGTTTTTAAAGGAAACCCTTAGTTTTGCATGTACGTTGACCTGGAAACACTGAAAAATTATCGAGAACAGCCGATTTCATGTCAGAACTTGGGTTTGTAGGTTTTTTTAATAGAGATAGGTAAAAATACAATAGCATAAATGATTTAGAATTACTTTTGTTTAAAGATTGTATTTCTTTAGTTTTAGAGACAGGGTAAGGGAGAGAAAAAGAGAGGGAGAGAAACATCCGTGTGTGGTTGCCTCTCACACATCCCCCACTGGGGACCTGGTCTGCAACCCAGGCACGTGCCCTGACTGGGAATTGAACCAGCAACCCTTTGGTTCGCAGGCCCATGCTCAGCTTACTGAGCTACGCCAGCCCGGGCAAGAATTACTTTTTTGAATGCCCAGTGTAGTCACATGGTTCGGTCTGAAAGAGGGAAAAAGCATCCTGCGAAGGTCTTGTCCTCACTGGGGTGGTCTGTCCGCCCAGTTCTGCTCACCCCCCCCCCACTGCCCCCCCATCCCTGTGTAACTGCTTCTGGCTTCTTCCGGAATTTCTGGTGGGCACATGAGCACAGCGTGCTGTGTAGACTGTGCTAACACCTTGTGTTTTCCACTTTGAGGGATATTTTTATATTATGTCCATATTGGAGAGTTTTTTGGTTCTTTTTATTTTTTTTAATGATAAATGTCTTTTTCATTGATAAATGATCATGTCTTTTTCAATGTCTTAAAAATTTTTATTTCTTTTTAGAGAGGGGAAGGGAAGGAGAAAGAGAGGGAAACATCAATGTGTGGTTCCCTCTCATGCCCCCCCACACTGGGGACCTGGCCTGCAACCCAGGCACGTGCCCTGGCTGAGAATTGAACCGGCAACCCTTTGGTTCACAGGTCAGCACTCAGTCCACTGAGCCACAGCAGCCAGGGCTTTTTTTTGGTTCTTTTTGAACAATTGTATAATACTCCTTTGTATGCACATGCCATTAGTTTTTTTAAGCATTGTCTTCTATTGATGCATATGTGGGAGTTCTTTTCCCCGGTCTTTTCCTCTTACAAACAACGCAGCAATACTTAATGTTACGCATATATTCTCAGGCGTTTTTTTTAATTTGTTAAGACATCTAGGAATACTCGTCATTCAAGTCAGAGAAGGTGTGGCGGGAGTTTGTTTCTCTGTAGTGTTTCTGCTTTAGCACAGGAAGCTGTTACAGAGGGCTGTACGGCCCGCAGTCGGTCTTTGTCATTTCTGAGTCAGGACCCACCCAGGCGGTCAAGTCCTCCCCTCAGATCCTCGCTTCTTTCCACGGGTCGTTCGCTCGTAGCGGGGGCGCGTGGCTTTGCCGAGGCGGTGGTTTTCAATGCCCGCCCGCCCATCTTTTGAAAGGGGCGTTGTGCCGCTGACAGTCCACCATTAGGCCTGTTTCCTCTGCCCAGGAAGCAACAGGACTGCTGTAAAGACCACTGAACTCAAGCTCTGGCTGGCGTAGCTCTGTGGATGAAGGGCGGGCTGCGAACCAAAGGGTCGCAGGTTCGATTCCCAGTCAGGGCACATGCCTGGGTTGCAGGCCATGACCCCCAGCAACCGCACATTGATGTTTCTCTCTCTCTCTTTTTCCCTCCCTTCCCTCTCTAAAAAATAAAATAAAAATAAAATCTTAAAAAAAAAGACCACTGAATTCATTTTTTTAAATATAATTTTTAATGGATTCTTTTTTTAAGATTTTATTTATTTATTTTTTAGAGAGGGAAGGGAGGGAGAAAGAGAGAGAGAAACATCAGTGTGCGGTTGCCGGGGGTCGTGGCCTGCAACCCAGGCATGTACCCTGACTGGGAATCGAACCTGCGGCGCTTTGGTTCGCAGCCCGCGCTCAATCCACTGAGCTACGCCAGCCAGGGCCACTGAATTCATTTTAATGCCGTACCTGATCAGTCCAGTCCCTTCCCCACTACGTGTCTGAGCAAATTGAAAACTAGGAGGAATGAACTTGGCTCAAGGGTGAAGCAGTAAACGTTTTATAAAAATTCAGAATGGTTATCGGAATCCTGAGCAGCTAACAGCATTATTCTCCCAGTTTTCGTTACACTGGAGTACACCTTTGCTGGCGGAGCGTCAGTTTAGTGTTAGTTGTAAAGTGAGGGACTTAAAAATATGGAACTGGCTACCTAATAAAGACTTATTCAGTTCCACCGCAGTCTGATGGATACTTCCACTACAATTAAGTAGGTTCCTGAAATTTGTAGTAAATGCATCTAACCAGACAAAAACCCCCCAAAATGTCACTCTCTTTCATGATGAAGTCATCAGGATTAAGAGTTCAAATGCCACTGTTATTTTTTAAAGATTTCAAAGGTGGTCATCCTGTTAGTTTAGAAAATTCCAGTGTTTTTTTTTTCTTATGTGTAGGTTACTACATTGAGAGCAAATTGCCCGCTTTCACTTCTTGATTTTGTCGTGAGACTTAGGGCCTCCGATTTCCCCCAACGATGGCGGTTATGCTCCTTTGTTCTGTGGCGTCCCTCTTCTCTTCCTTGCTCTTGGCGTCCATGCCCCTGGTTGGGCGCCCGCCCCCTTCGCGCGTTGCGCCGTGCACCGGCGTGTGGGCTCTGGTCCTGCGCCCAGCGAGTTCGATGCCCGTGGCGAGCAGCAGGTCAGAGCCCTCCAATCAGCTTTGTCATTCAGGACGCCGGGCCCGGAGTGAGTATGGACGGCACCTAGTGTTTGGTGGCTGTGTGAGTCAGGGTTGTCCAGGGAAAGAGAATACAAAAATGCACATAAAATTGATTGGCTCACGTGATCGCGGGGGCCGGCCAGTCTCTCAAACTTGTAGGGCCGGCGGGCAGGCGGGCAGCTCAGACGTCGGGCCGTGCTGCGGTCCTGAGTCTGACGTCAGTAGGGACGCTGGCGGACTGGAGACGCAGGCGGGATTTCTGTGTTACAGCCTTGAGGCAGACGCCCTTCCGCAGGGAACCTCAGTCTTTGCTCTTAAGGCCTGAACTGATTTAGAGGAAGCCCACCCACATTATCCAGGGCTTATTCCCTTGATAATTAACGCCCCCCCCCACAAAGCTAGCACCCTGTGTGTTCCCCCTGAGCCTTGGCCTCGCCAAGTTGACACATGAAATTGAACGTACTGGCTTCCGTTTTAACTAATTATTCTCACTACCTAAATGCTAAGCTTGAATTTTCAGTTGCCGAAAGACTGAGTGCTTGCCTCAGGAAAATGATTTTTAAAAAACAAACTTTAGCAGTGTTTAAAAATTGTTATTTAAAAATTACGCACCTTCCAAAATCTCAGAGCTTATCTGCGGTCAGAGGCAAAATGCACTCATACAGAGATAAACAAGAAGACAGAATGTGCCATGACCAGCCCTGGCTGGTGTGCCTCGGTGGATTGAGCGCTGGCCTGTGAACCAAAGGGTCTTGGGTTCGATTCCCAGTCAGGGCACGTGCCTGGGTTGTGGGCCAGGCCCCCAGTGGGGGGGTACACGAGAGGCAACCACACATTGATGTTTCTCATGCTCCCTCCTTCCCCCTCTCTCTAGAAATAAATAAATAAAATCTTAAAAAAAAGAAAAAAGAAAAAACATCTACACCAAAACACATGTACAAAAAACAAAAATAAAAGCAAAACATGTACATGGATGCTTATTCATAGCAGCATTATTCGTAATAGTTAAAAGGTGGAAATAACCCAAAAGTCCGTCAACTGATGAATGAAACAACTAATAAATAAAATGTAAATCCACATACAGTGCAATATTATTATTTGGCAATAAAAAGGAATGAGGTAGTGGTGCTTGCTACCCTGTGGATGAACTTTGAAAACACTAATACTAAGTCAGAGATGGCCAGATGTTGGAAAAAGTTCAGCCATTGTCAGTGTCACAAGAACAGTCTTGGTGATGTGATGTGACCTGGCATCCAAGGAGAGCGGACTGGAATGCGCATGTGTGAACAATGACAACTTCACTGTACTAGTCAGTGGGGGCAGTAGATGCCATTGAGTGAGCATGTGTACTGTGTGGCTGTCGTATTCAAAATGACTGAGCAAGTAGAGCGATGAATCTGCATCAAATGTTGCTTTAGGCTTGAACATTCTTCCTCGGAAACTAGTCAGACGATTCAGAAGGCTGCCGCTGTGGGCAACTGGTGACTGGCAGCAGCTTTAGCACAATGCGCCCGCTCATGCATCACGCCTCGTGCAGTTTTTGGTGAAACATCAAATCACCCCGGTGACTCAGCCCCGCTCGCCCCTCCCCAACAGCCCAGATTTGTTGCCCTGCGACTTCTGGCTTTTCCCAAAACTAAAATCACCTTTGAAAGGGAAGAGATTTCAGGCCTTTGATGAGATTCGGAAAAACAGGACGGGGTGGCTGATGGCGACTGGGAGAACTGCATGAGGTCCCAAGGTGTCTACTTTGGAGGGGACGGAGGCCTCCTTGTCCTGTGGGCAATGTTTCTTGCATCTTGTCTCTTCAGTAAGTGTCTGTGCTTTTCATATTGTGTGACTGGATACCTTCTGGAGCAACCTCATGAATTATATAATCCCTTTTATATGAAAGGCCCAGGAGAAGCAAATCCGTGGAGACAGAAAGTGGATTACCAACTGCCAGTGGCTGGGGGAGGGGAAGAGCGAAGTGACTGCTCCTGGGTTTCCTTTCGGAGTGAT